TGTCTCTCTGTCTCTCTCTCTCTGTCTGGAGAGCGCATGCACCCTATAGCAAAATAAAAAAAAAAAAAAAAAACTTCTAAAAAAAATAAGAACTATAGCAAAATAAAAAAAAAAAAAAAAAACTTCTAAAAAAAATAATAAAAGGACTTTTGTATTGTCTTGAGCTGCCGATAGGTTCATGTACCTACTATTTGAACATAATCCTAACCTCTTTCTTGGCTTTAAGTTTTAAGCAGAGCTCTGTTAGCATTTATTTTATTTTGACTTATTAGAGCTAAAACTGCTTTTCTTAAAATTAAAAATATATTTAAAAATACATATTTAATTACTGTAGTAAGCTATATAGCATCATCTAGGTGCTACTTTATAGTATATTTATTCTTCTGTGTTTCACACCTAAAGTCAGACATTTATTCACAGATTTGTGTATATATCAACTGAACTTGCTATTAGAAGTATTTATATTATTTAAGAAATTTTCTGAATTAAAATTTGAGGTAAAAAAGAATGAAAAACAACTGTAGATACCAGAGATACTGTGGGAGGAGGGTGAGAAATTGGAGAAAAAATATATATATAAAATTAGAAATGGAAAATTATCAATAACATGCATGATTAAGCACTATGCAATATTTCCTGGATAGAAAATCACATTTTGTATGCTGTGACAATGCTTAGTGAATAAATGTAAATTAACTAATTAAAAATTGTTTTAAAAAGAGATGCTGAACATATTTTCATAAATTCTTAGCCATGTATATATCTTCCTTCAAAGGCTATCTGTTCAGATTGATTGATTAGATTCATTCATTAGATTACTAGTATTTATTTTTCTAGGTTGAAGTATTTAAATTTCTTACATACTCTGGTTATCAAGACCTTATCTGAAGTATAATTTGTGATTTTTTTTCCATTCTGTGCTTCATCTCTTCATTATTGAAAGTAGATGAGACACAGGGACCAGCAGTTGGGATAGAGGTTATGTCACTAGACTCCCACATACTCAACAACAGTTTGAGTCCTATACCTAGTTGCTTAACATTCATGCCAGGCACGCGTGCATGCATGCCCAAGGTCCCAAGAGGAGAAGGGATTGTGACATGGCAATACCTCCTTGTGGGGTGGTTTCTCTCTTTCTCTCTTTCTCTCGGCAAGCACACACCCTACAGCAAAAATATCACTGAGGTTTTAAGAGAAACAGTGACATATTCAATAAATAGTTGTACATTGATAAAGTTCCTAGTATATCAATATTTTTGCCCTGAATTTAAGAATTATAATAAAACCTAAGCCTGTGTCTATATGTACTGAAAGGCTGGGAGGTGGAAGACAACAGAAATGAACTGAAGCTGTTAATATCAAAAGAATCTAAAAGAACAAATGAGTCCTTTAATTCCTATCAAAGGAGAGAACATGCTAACTCAGGGTTTCTACTAGTAATTTTCACTGGAGTGGGTCAAAAAAAATAAAAAAGAAAGAAAGAAAAAAAAAACTATCTTTTATTGAGGTCTTTAACACTTACTTAGAATATCGATAGCATAGACATTTTCCTGAGTTACACAATACCAACAGGGAGAGAGAGACAAGGAGACAAACACCACAGCAGGGTCTTCATGTTACAGTCCACCTCCAGCCTCTGTCAGCCTGAATCATGGGCTCTCATGCCTGTCTGCAGTGTACAGCGAGGCCTCAAAACAAGAACCTGGAGCCTTCTTGAGTAATGCAGCCCTGTACTGAACCACTGCTGCATCATCTGTCCTCATTTTTATTGATTTAATCTTTTTTTTTTCTTTTTTTTGGAGAGTTTTTTGCTGTAGGGTACGTGTGCTCGCCAGACAGACAGAGACAGAGAGACAGAAAGTGAGAAATCACCCCCTGGGGGGATGGCCACGCCGTAATCCCTTCTCCTCCATTCTCCTCTCGGGATCCTGGGCACCCACCCACACACGCCTGGTGTGAGTTTAAGCCACCGGGTCCGGGACTCAAACTGTGGTCAACTATGTGGGAGTCCAGCGACATAGCCATTATGCTAACTGCTGGTCCCTTGATTTAATCTTTGTAATAATTCTTCAGCATATGTATTTAATCCTCACAGCAATTCTTTCAACAACTATCATCCCCATTTCACAGGTGATAGAGTTAATCTGACTGTAAAGATACAGAATCTGTAAGGAAAGGTGATGTTCACACTCAGTTTGGCTTAAAACTCCTGCATTTAACAGCTAATTTTAGTAACTTGAAATAAATGTTCTAATCTAATTATTACTCCTTCTGGAGTCTCTTTCAAGTATCATCTGTTGCTCTCATGTGCAGTTTTTACATATAAGGCATATACTTCACCATTATATATATATATATGTATATATATGCACATATATATATAGTCTAAGAGACATCTCTACTTCAATGTTTCCATATAGAGAATGGCTAAAGTAAACTGGTTCTCTTTTCCTTTTTTTCCCCAAATCCAGTGTGTGTTGCTGTTATTAATCCAGTAAGGTCAGTTAACAAATAACTGTTGATCAGTGAATAGTCATTCTCTTCCTGTGAACTTTGTGTAAATAAAAATAATTAGTACTTTTCTCTAATTTGTGTAAATCAGAGAGGCGGATGTCATCTCCACAACCTACTATCGTCCCTTTATCAATCAATTCTATTCTTCGTATTGATCACTCAGTTCTATTCTTAGTTATGGAATTTCTCTTTTACTCACTTCTATTTAACTGTACTGATAACAATTATCCAGAACATTTACAGCACAGATTTTTAAAAATTAAATTAAATTTTATTTATTAATTATTATTATTATTCAATTTGACCAGAGAAAGACACAAAGAGAGAGAGTGAGAAAGCAAGCTGCCAGGTCCAGGACTCAAACCATGGTTGGCCACGTGGGAGTCCAGCACCTTAACTCCCACACCACCTGCTGGTTCCCAGCACAGACTTTTTATTGGATTACAAATGCATCAATATAATTTCTCATGTATATTACTGTATCTTGATATTCTTCATACTTTTTCCCCATTTCCAATGTGTTCATACTGTTGTCAAAGTGACTTTCAAACAGTGATTATCTGATCATAAGCGCCCATCCTATCTCTGATTTTACCAATATTATCTTTATAGAAATGTAAACATTTTTATACAATTTATAAGGCCCTGTGTGATCAGAATCTACTCCTACATATTTATTTTCTGTCAGTCTATTTCTCACATTTTTGACCAAGTGATACTGTAATTCTTTAGTATAGTTTGGTGTAAAATTATTTTTCTTTAAATTCAGGTACTTTATCATGTCCTATGATCAGTACACATGCTCTGTTTAATGTTTGTTGTGTTTTCTCTACATAGACTCAATGCCCCATCCCTTCCCAAGCTACCATATCCTTACTTTTCTCATATCTAATACTCTCCCAAAATTTCATTTCTTCTGGGAATTTTTTATAATTCAAGAGATACATTTGGTGTGTTCCTTAAAGCACATTAATGTTCATGAAGCAAGGATAGAACTTCATCAGTTTATGGTAAATATTTTCTTTCCAGGACATGCTACACATATACATTTTAATGAAAAGAACAGGTTGATCACCCTGAATAGCCACAAAACAGGCAATGCTCTAAATATAAAAAGAGAAGTGTTAAGATGAAATATAAGCCCTTCGTTAGAATTACTGATATTTCTGTGGATCAGAAACAATTTTTCTCCAAATAAACAGGAAAGACAAAAACACAATTGAAATTTGTAAACTCCAGGACCATTTAAACCACACGCAGTCTCAAAAGCAACTGACTTTCCTTTGACCTTTGAGTGAGACAATAAAAAATTTCATGCCTGGATTTACTAAGTCCTCATGCTGAGGATCCCGAGGGAACCACATAATTAAGACCTTGCAACTCACAATCGTGCATCATTTGACTTTCCTATTTTCTCATCCATCCTTGGGGAACTATCTGAAAGACCTGAAGACATTAGTTAAGTATGCCCCAGCTTCCCCTAGACAGTGAAGAGAAGCAAGGGAGGTCAAGGAATTTTCTGAGTGTCTGGGAAGATAACATTCTGAGGAAGAGATTTACACACATATAAGTTCTCTAGGCGAACTTCTTGGACAGTCTTCAAGAAGGAAGTGTCTGGACTGAGTCTTCAATAGGGCAGCAGAGCTAGATTCCAGCAGCAAGACTATGAAATGGGTAAGTGCCAGAACAGACATGAAAAGTGACTTCTCTCTTTGGGAATGCTAAATGCAGTTTAAAGAAGATTGAAAATTTTTCCAGAGGTCTGCATAGTCGGAGAAATCACACCTGTAATGGCCAACATCTACAGCATGGACTCATTCAACAAATGTGTCAAAGCAGGTTTGGAGTACTAATGAGAGCCTAGAGATGGACTTCAAGAAAACTCAATGTTTTAAGACTAAATGTGTCCTTGTCTGATATTGTTCATTTTTCTTCATAGAGGGTTCATGAACTTTAGTAGGATTTTATAAAACTTTGATGTCCGATTTAAAAATCAAATTAAAAAGTCTTTTAAACATATCTATGATGATTGTAAAATATGAAATTAAAATTAAGTTTAAGTGTATCCATAAAAATCTACAACCAAACTGAAATTCCAGTTAAGCAAAATGTTTTATATATTTGTATAGACCTGCCATCTATTTTTTTTGCAATTATCACTTTAAAACATTTTTCAGTATAACTTACAGTGAAGCATGTGTTGTAAAAATGTGTTTTTTATGAGAAAGCCCTAATTATTATATATCAACATATTATTACACACAAACTCAGGAAAAGATCATTTCCAATCTCTTTAGTCTGTCAGTCTCTACCATTGTACACTTAGAAAATGTCACAGAATCAGGCATAAATCAATTAATTCTATGTAATTATAAAGATAATTATTGAGGCTGCTGCAATATATTTCTATGAATAGGTACTGAAAATGGAAATGGTTAGGGGTTATAAATTTCTCAATGAATTTTCACTTCATCTGAGAATATACTATGTGGCCCAACATTAGTGCTGCCCCCTTTTTGCTGACTGGATTTCCAGGTCTGGAGGCAGCTCATCACTGGATCTCCATCCCCTTCTCTGTAGTCTATATGTCTGTGCTTCTTGGCAATGGCACTCTCCTCTATCTCATCAAGGATGATCACCATCTCCATGAACCCATGTACTATTTCCTGGCTATGCTGGCAGGCACAGATCTGATGGTGACACTGACCACGATGCCTACTGTAATGGGTGTCTTATGGTTGAATATCAGGGAGATAAATCATGGCAGCTGCTTCTTGCAAGCCTATTTTATCCACTCTCTTTCTGTTGTCGAATCAGGTATTCTCCTTGCAATGGCCTATGACCGTTTCGTTGCCATCTGCACCCCTTTGCGGTATAACTCAATTCTTACTAATTCCAGGGTGATGAAGGTCGGACTGGGGTTACTGATGAGAGGCTTTTTATCTCTTATTCCCCCAATTCTGCCTCTCTATTGGTTTCCATATTGCCGTTCCCATGTTCTTTCCCATGCCTTCTGCCTCCACCAAGATGTCATGAAACTTGCCTGTGCTGATATCACATTTAATCGCATATACCCGGTTGTTCTGGTTTCCTTGACTTTCTTCCTAGATGCTCTGATCATTGTCTTTTCCTACATTTTAATTCTTAAGACAGTAATGGGCATCGCCTCTGGGGAGGAGCGAGCTAAGGCCCTCAACACTTGTGTCTCCCATATTAGCTGTGTCCTGGTATTTTACGTCACTGTGATCGGCCTGACTTTCATCCACAGGTTTGGGAAACATGCGCCACACGTGGTGCACATCACCATGAGCTATGTCTACTTTCTCTTTCCTCCACTCATGAACCCTATTATATACAGCATGAAGACCAAGCAGATTCAAAGAAGTATCATTCGCCTATTTTCTGGGTGCAGTAGGGCTTGAGCCTTTATTGCAGAATACTGAGATCCTGGAATTTCTGGTTGCTATACATAATTTCAAAAGATCTCTTTCTTATACCACAACTCTTTCTTTCCGAATTAGATAGACTTTGAATATTATGTAAAGTACAAGCTAAGTTGATTAGGAGTTCGATAAGTGTATCTACTGACTGACCAATTGATAAATAAATTGGTAGGTACTCATGTATGGAGAGAGAAGATAAAGAGGGAGCATAATATAAATAGAGAACATTGGAAAATGGACTTCCACTGAATCTGGAGATAAAAGATACAGATAAATAGCTTAATAAGTCAAAAAGTTAGGACAATTTAGAGCCTGTGTCCTTAAGTAGTGAAAATACCACTTCAGAAGAGGTCAAGTTAAGTAGTTAACCGTGTTCAAACACAGCCAACATAAGGAAAAATGTGTAAATGGTGATCCATTTTCAGGCCATAATAATGAATTAGGTCATGTGGATTATGAACCATGGAACCCCACTATAACTCAAAACTATTTATGTGCAAGAATTATATGTAAACTAGAAATTATAACAATAAAGTTACAATAATAAAACAATGTATCTAAAAACATGGTTTCTTTTCCAAATGATACAAGGCCATTTATAAAGTTCCCTGAATTCATGACTTTCCATTACTTCATTTTGCATAATCAGTTGATATCTTTCTTTTTATTCTATGTTCTCTCTAAAGGCTGAATAGAAACTCTTCTGATAGGTCTGATAGATGAAATGTTATCTGATATTGTAGGTTTTATATAGTTTTAATCTTCTAAAGTACGAACAATATCAGTTTCTTGAAGCCATTTTAAAGTCTTGCTCTGGATTTGATCATAATTTTGTCAGTTTTTAACCTAATTGATTTATAGTTCATTATATATTACTTTATGCATTTTAATACTAATATTTCCCTAGTTTTACATTTTGTTTTTTTATACATGTACTTTACAAACTTATGTGTGAATTATTTTATTATTTACTTCATTTATTAAGCTCTTTACCATACTGACAAAGCCCTTCCTGTATCTGGGTTTACTTATATCTTTTTTTATACATTTGTGTAATTCTTTTTTTTTATATATTACTGTAACATAGGTTTGTGTTTGGAGGAGGGTAAAGACTTTACATCATAGAAAAGGGGGGCCAGCAGGTGGCACGGTGGTCAAGGGTTAAAGTGCTGGACACTCTCACATGGCCTACCACAGTTCAAGTCCCAGTCCTGGTGGTGTGCTTTCTCACTTTACCTTTCTCTCTCTCTCTTTCTCTCTCTCGGGATCTTGGGCATGCACACACATGCACCCGGCGTTAGTTTAAGACACCTGGTCTGGGACTCGAACCACAGTCAGCTACATGGGAGTCCAGCGACATAGCCATTATGCTAACTGCTGATCCCAAATACTTCTTTTTCAAATATGAAAGACTGAATTCTGAATTGTGGTTTTTTTTTTTTTTTTTTGAGAGGTTTTCGCTATAGGGCGCGTGCATTCGCCAGACAGACAGATGGTGACACCACAATCCCTTCTCCTCCATTCTCCTCTTGGGATCTTGGGCATGCACGCACACGCACCTGGTGTGAGTTTTAAGCCACCGGGTCCAGGATGCGAACCATGGTCGACTACATGGGAGTCCAGCGACATAGCCATTACGCTAACTGCTGGTTCCTTGAATTGTGTTTTTAAGAAGGTTTTTGATCAAGAGTTGTCAACCTGCACAATCTTAGATTGTTTTAGTAGAACTTCTGCATATGATCCAATGGAGTAGATTTTGAAAATAGGACTAATAAGACAATACTTGTATTATTATGTTCAATCAGGAGAAGCATAATAGGAAATTAATCAGGTTTTGAAAGTATTATGTGATAAACACGTAAAAGAGTAATGGATGCTCAGTCATTAAGAAAAAAAAAGCCTTAGAGATATTAATAAAGATGTTTTATTCATTTAGAAAAATATGTATAATTTTTATTAGTTTGATTCTGGAGATTAGACCTAGAAATAAGGAACAGTTATTAGATATTTGAAGTCAGTAGATCTCTCTTGTGCTCTTTCTTTACACGTATACACATACACTAACATATGATACATAGATCTACACAAATACACACCCAGAAAAAATAATGTTTATATGAAGAGAAAGAAACTGAGAGGAGTTCAAAAAGTTTGTGGAAAGGTATAGTATGCCTTAATTCTATTTTTATTAACTCTTTGAAATCCCCTTGAATATATGAATAATAAAGTGGAGTATGTGTGTGAACATGTGTGCATGTATGAATAAATGATCTCATACAGTAGTGAGTTTCCAGTGACTAGGAAGAACAAATAGGTATCTGATGAGCATTCATCAAGATAAAATTGTTCAGTGGCTCAAGTATTTTTAAAAGGCTTAGATTGGATGGGCTCTTCAGATCATTATTCCTAACAAGTCTATAGTCTTTGAGAATATAAGAGCAGTTTTGGAAGGAGGATTGGTATATTGTTCCTTGAATGTCAGCATTTAGGAAGAAAAAGTGACTGATCTTTCCAGTGACCCACAGACCATTAGAGAGTGACTCAGATAGGTCCTGCCTCATCTGATATTAAAGATTTCCTAGACATTCTCCACTCAAAGAGGCTGGAAGACTATGGGGACCAATTCCAGTGGTTTCAGAGCTTTCTCAGGTGGTGAAAGTAAAAAGAATCATTTGGTATTCCCAAATACTCTATATAGAAGTAAGCTAGAATGACTCCCTCAGGGAGGTTTTCTTTATATACCATTCATTAGGATTGTGAACACATACTAAGGATATAACTACAAACCAATCCACAGATTATGCTCAGGAACCACAAGGAGAAAACTGACTCAGGTAAGGAAGACAAAGGATTTGAATACAACACGGTTGTTTAAGAGTAAATCTTGTAACTGTGCAGCCAACTCCTGAGAAAAGGCTGAGAATGCAGAAAATTGTTTTTTTTTTCTCTTTCTTTTTAAAAATTAAATTCAGAAAAGAGTACACCATGTAGAAAGGCAAGCTTAGATGGGAAAACCACCTTCTGTATTTAATGGATATTGTTTGCGAACAAGAATTTGATATTTGGGTCAGAGATATCTGAGTTCAAATTCCTTACGCTGCATATTAGCTATGGGACATTAGCAAATTACTTAAACATCCTACAGCTCAATTTTCCCACCTGAAGAATGTAAATAAAATGTTGATTTCACCTTCTTTTTATTGATTCACTTTTACTCTTAAAACAATTAGGCATCACTTCCTACCGTTGTATTGAAATAGTCAAGATTACCAAAGACCTAGTTACCAAAAAAGGGCGTTTTCCATTTTTTAAATCTTATTAGACATATGATATTTTTCACCATGATACTACAATATCACCGACTTGTAAAACTTTATTTTTTAATGTTTTCTTTTTGTAAAACAGACCATTTTAGAGTCCTTTTCTAAAAGAATTATTTTATTTAACTTTATTTATTTATTTATCTATCTATTTATTTAAATTTGACCAGAGAGTGACAGAGTGAGAGAGAAAGAGGTAACGCGAGAAAGCAAGCCACCAGGTCTGGGACTCATACTGCAGTCAGTCATGTGGGAGATCAATTACCTTAACCACCACAACCTGCCAGCTCCTCAATGTCCTTTCATATTTCTGGCTACTTGTTTATCTCTTTCTTTTAAAATACTTTTCTTTCCTCTACTCTTTTTACTTAAATTGTCAGAGGGTGTGTACACTCACCATAGAGAGAGAAAGAATGATGGTGGAGGGAGAGACAGAGAAACAGAGAGCACATCTCCTTAGGGTGTTATCATGCCACAATCTTTTGCCTCTTTCACTTTTCCACCCAGTCAGGATCCTGCACATGCATGCACACACACTTTGTGTGTTTCTCAAGACACTAAGTTGGGACTGGAACCACAGTCAGCCACACCGGATCTGGCTTTTCTAAACACAGCACTTAACAACTATGTTACAACATTGGCCCCTTTCCTTCTATTTAAAAGTGAAATTTTTCCTAGACTCCCAACTTCTCTCTTCACATCTTTCCCATCTTACTTTAGCCCTAAGGTAAGATTTAAACAATCGCTTAAAACCTGAGGTCTTTTAGATCACTATCTCCAGCATAGGGTCTCCATTGTCAGTTGATTTGCTCTCTCTCTCTCTCTCTCCTCTCTCTTTCTGTTTCTCTCTCTTCTTCTGTTTCTGTGTGTGTGTGTGTGTGTGTGTGTGTGTGCGCACGTGCACATGCATGTGTATGCTGAGATTCTATCACATGTGCACCCCTTATGAAGCTTCTGAGTTTGCCTGATGGTGATAAAAAAGTTCCACTGAAGTTATAATTGTCACTGATATCATAAACAACATTGCAAATGACGTCCTTAAGTGGGCAGCTAATTAACGCCTTGGCATATTTGAAGCATGTGGACATTTCTGGCACTACAAAAATTGCCAGTTAAATGTTATATTGGCTACTGTTAGAAACTGCAGGTCAATTATAAATATATTAATAAATTCTAATGATTATTACCAAAGAATACCACACAGTTATGATATCTAAACCTTGATTAGCCTAAAACCCCAAACCCACAGTTCAGGCTATCAAAACAACTACTTTAGTCATTTACATATCTTTTCCTATTTCTTCCCTCTGGTCTACCTTCTGGGTGACAGTAGGTTGGATTGGATGATTTCTCCTATTTATGAATAAATTTTAGCATTTGTACACTCTTTATGTCTCTTTGTATTTTTTTTAACATAGTGCTAATATTGGCACATACTAATTGTACAAATTTGTTGGGTACACTGTACTCATTTGACACATGTGTACATTGAATAATGATTAAGTCATGATAATTAACATCACAGAGAAGGAGAGATGGGGAAATATTAGTCAATGGGTAAAAGTTAAAGTTAGATGGGAAAAGTAAGTTATGGTACTCTAATGCACGTAGACTTAACAATAATGAAATGTACATTTTAAAAGTCCAAAGAAAGGATTTTGAATATTATTACATATATAATTTTATTTTTAATAGTTGTTTATTTTTATTTTTCAACTTGATCAGAGAGACAGCTATTAAACTAGGATCTAATTGTCTTCACTGACTCTATTTACTTCCACTGCTTTGATATACACTACTTATTCCCAAGCACTTTGCAGAAAATGATAATCTGTCTTACCCTGCCTTTCATGTCCAGAGAGAAGGAAACTGCCCTCCTAGTAGGATGACAGCCATCCCTGCTAAAGATGCCAGTGTCCTTGTGAAACCAAGGAAAACAATCCTCAATACTTTCACTGTTTTTGTGTCCTTTGATATTTCTCTCTCTACCATAGAGTGCTTCTTCCCCTATGTAAGTTTTGTATTTTGTCCAGAAAAGTGGAAACAATTATGGGTCTGTCCTCTCTCCACCCCCATCTTGTTGACCTCACTAAACAAATTATTTTCTTTGTTCACCAAGTCTTATATCTTTGGAGCAGGTGGCGTGACCTGATTTTAGGCCCTCTGAACCACCTATTCTATTATAATACCATCCCTTAAAGTAGTGGCCATATCCATGACCCATTCACCTTTCCTCTGTCTATCTCCCTGACCATTCATAGCTTATTGTTAGTTATGTTAATTAGTAATTCTCAAACATGTATTTATTGTTGTTTTTACAGGTTGTTATGAAATTGTGATTCAAAGGATGCTGTTACCTTACTCTTCCTAAATTCCTGCTCAGACATAGTAGTAGTAATGTTTACAACAGAAAATAGTATTTTAAAAGATTCTAGACATATATAGATCCAATTCAAGGGGAATATTTCCCTTGTGCTTCTCTATCAGTCTATCTATTATCTATTTAGTTAGTTTTAGATTTTTGCCATAGGGCACATGCACCCTGGAAGAGAGACAGAAAGAGGGAAAGTGAGAAATCACACCCCAGGTGGGATGGCTGCTCTGCAATCCCTTCTCCCTTCATTCTCCCCTTGGGATTTTGGGCACACATTTACACATGCCCAGCTTGACTTCTCCTTTTTTTTTTTTTTTTTTGAGACATTTTCTTTTTTCGCTATAGTGCATGTGTGCTCGCCAGACAGACAGAGACAGACAGAGAGACAGAAAGCAGGAAATCACCCCCCAGGGGGGATGGCCACGCCGCAATCCCTTCTCCTCCATTCTCCTCTTGGGATCTTGGGCACGCATGCACACGCGCCCAGCGTGAGTTTAAGGCACCAGGTCCGGGACTCGAACCGCGGTCGACTACATGGGAGTCCAGCGACATAGCCATTACGCTAACTGCTGGTTCCCCAGCTTGACTTCTCTTAAATTGGTATTGTAATCAATCTACTACAAAATTTCTTGGTTACCTGAAGACAAAGCTAACCTGACAACTGTGAGTGTAATTACGATTAGGTCATATTTCAAAGTTTATTATGCAATCCTTTAATATTTCTGGATATAGTCCTTAAAATCATAATAATTAAAAGGTGTATATTATGTAATAGTACTTACTTACTAGCTGTGCCTACTTGCTTAGATTTCTCTAGAAACTGATATGATCTCCTTATTCATAGTCCATATAAGACAGCAATATTGAGAGCAACATTTCTCAAACATTTTATAGAGTTTCATTCATTTCAATTGACTAGGCATTTTACTCAGTAATTAATCCTTGAAACAATTATCTCATTGGTTTCAAGACAGAAAACCTGAATTAACTCACAATATCTTGCAGTACAACAAGGGCATATGTGAAAAATATGAGTGGGAATAAAAGTGTAAAAAGTATTAAATGTATCTAAAAACATGTTAACTGGGACTAGGAATGAAGGCTGGAAACACAGACATTAAGACGTGTGACTGAAAGATTGCAAGTTGTATGTTTCATATTACACTGATGGGATTATTGTAATAATTATTGCTAATGTTATTCTAGGTAAAGGCCTTGTGAAGAATGACCTGATTTGCTACAGGAAGCTGGTGAGAGAAAGAAAGAATACTGCATACCCAGAGGTCATAATCCCTGGAAAAGCTAGTCTCCTGCTATGAAACCTGCCATGTTGTCCAATAGCAGTGCAGCTCCCTTCTTGCTGACTGGCTTCCTGGGTTCAGAGGGAATTCACCACTGGATTTCTATTCCCTTCTTTGCCATCTACCTTTCCATCCTTTTTGGCAATGGCACACTTCTCCTCCTCGTTTGGAATGACCATAGCCTTCATGAACCCATGTACTACTTCCTGGCTATGCTGGCAGGCACAGATTTTGGAATGACACTTACTACGATGCCCACAGTCCTGGGGGTTCTGTTGCTGAACCAGAGGGAGATTGCTCAGCAAGCCTGTTTCACTCAGTCCTACTTCATTCACTCACTGGCCATTGCAGAATCGGGGATCTTACTTGCCATGGCCTATGACCGTTTCATTGCCATCCGCACTCCACTTCGGTACAACTCCATTCTGACCAATTCTCGTGTGATGAGGATAGGACTCGGGATGCTGGCAAGGGGCTTTGTATCTATCATGCCCCCAATTTTGCCTCTCTATTGGTTTCCATATTGCCGTTCCCATGTTCTTTCCCATGCTTTCTGCCTCCACCAAGATGTCATGAAACTTGCCTGTGCTGATATCACATTTAATCGCATATACCCGGTCGTTCTGGTTGCTTTTACTTTCTTCCTAGATGCTCTGATCATTGTCTTTTCCTACATTTTAATTCTTAAGACAGTAATGGGCATCGCCTCTGGGGAGGAGCGAGCTAAGGCCCTCAACACTTGTGTCTCCCATATTAGCTGTGTCCTGGTATTTTACGTCACTGTGATCGGCCTGACTTTCATCCACAGGTTTGGGAAACATGCGCCACACGTGGTGCACATCACCATGAGCTATGTCTACTTTCTCTTTCCTCCACTCATGAACCCTATTATATACAGCATGAAGACCAAGCAGATTCAAAGAAGCATCATTCGCCTATTTTCTGGGTGCAGTAGGGCTTGAGTCTTTATCTGAGAATCTTGAGATCTCCATAATCTACAGGGTTTTGTTTTATATTCGGTCTCCCCTTTACAGCATTCTATAGATGAGACTTTAAGTATTAGGTAAAGAAAGAAACTGACTTAAACCAGGAAATCTGAAAGGGTTATAATTTATGTATACATATGCATGTATATAATAAATTATAATGTGTGTGTGTGTGTGTGTGTGATCTTCCCCAGGGAGGATGACCACGTCACAATCCTTTCTCCTCCATTCTCCTCTTGGGATCTTGGGCATGCACACACATGCGCCTGGCATGAGTTTTAAGCCACCAGATCCAGGACGCGAACCACAGTCAACTACATGGGAGTCCAGCAACATAGCCATTATGCTAACTGCTGGTCTCAAGACTGGCTGAAGATTTAGAAATCACTTCCCATTTTCACTTCTCCCTCATGTCTCACAAAAAGTCCTTTCCACTCAGCGCTTTTCCACTTAATGAATCATTTCTGCTAATCAGTGCAGACCAGCTAGTACATGTAGTGTGATATTGAAGGCATTCTACAGTGTTCTCCTTCAGTCTTCCTTGAAGCACTTATAAGTCTTTATACCGTTTGTTTTGGTTGAACGATAGCCTACTTCCTGTTGTTAATGTGAAAGGCAATGGTGATTCACTCCCCTTCTGTTAGTGCTTTGCTGCTATTTGGAGCTTGTCTCCATTTAGGTATGTGACCTAAAAAGTTGTACTTATGGCTATTAGAATACAGCTGTTCCTTCATATTTTTAAGTCTTTTATTCTGATTGGGCTTCCTTATAACATTCTAATGTCTGCTTGAAAGCTCACATACAGAACCCAGAAAAACGATCGGTTCCTTCTCCATATTCATGTCAAATCTAAGTGTTGAACATTTGAAAAAAAACTCCAGAGACCTTATAAGAGAACTCCTACCAAAAAACACAAGTTAAATAATGACATTTTCCTTTTAATTAGAAGGGCAATTTGACAAAATGACAAACCTGGAAGAATTAATTGCTAAGTGGAATAAGTCAGGCACTGAAAGACAAGTGCAGTCTATCCTTAGAGGAAGCTGAAAGATTTCATTGCAAAGAAATTAAAGTTTAATAGTGAAGAGTAGAAGGGGAAAGAGGAGGGGAATGTTGAGGACAGGGAGAAGTTGGTTAACAGATACAATAATTCATGGGTATAAATGGTTTCTATTTTTCATTGCATTTTTCAGACAGACTTACTCTCATAGCAGTTTTCACTTTGTTTAGTAATTCATCATTAAAATATTTTTGAATTCAAAACATTTCTTTTAAATTTAAAAAAAAAGAAGAGCAATTTGGATGAAGAAAAAAATATAAACTAATAATTTTTTAGAAGTTTTTGCCCCAGGGTGCATGCCAGAGACAGAGAGACAGTGAGAGTGAAAGTAAGAAATCAGTTCCTAAAAGGGATGACCATGCTGCAATCCCTTCTTCTCCTCCATTCTCCTTCTGGGATCTTGAGTACTCACACACATGCACCTGGCATGATTTTCAAGCCACCAGGTATGGGACTCGAACCACAGTCATGTGGGAATCCAGTGGCATAACCGGTATACCATCTGTTGGTCCCAAAGCTAATAAATTTCTGTTCCTGAAATTCAATGGTGATAAAGATGTATCATTCTTTATTTATCACTTATGTCTCTGAGAGTTAAAAAATACATACATACATACATACATGCATACATAAATAAAAATAAATGCTGAGTATTATCAAAATTACCTGGTAAATAAAGAATTGTGTAAATATGACAAATGTGATGTGTTTGTTAAAAGTAGATTTTTAGACTGGTCCAATAGTAGTGAGTTATCAGAACTTACTAACATTACTGTCACTAAAGTTAATATACCACCCTCCACTGCTAAATTTGACTGACATAAGAGAATAGTGGATTTTTATTGCTCTTTTCTTAATTGTTGTAGATAGACTTCAACTATAAATTTGTGGTGTAAATCAAGAGGCAATGGACAGAAAACAAATCAGGTATAGTATAGAACCCCAGGAATCAGAGGTCTCTAAATATAAATAAGAATTGATAATGCTAACTGAAAATCCAGATGTGCTCATGTACTATTAATGAATGTCATAATGTGATTCTAAAACCTATTAACCTTTAAATAGCATGTATAAATTATAAAAATTCAATGATATTAAATACAGTGAATATTGCAAATTATCGATTTTGTTAAGCAAATGTACATTTACCGATTTTGATTTTAAATAAAACATATAGACTACGTATTCTGTTTAAAATTTTCTTTGGAAAAAAAAAAACCTTTCAATTAACAAATCATCCTCTGTCCACTGACCCAGTCATGTATAAAGACATTTATTGTGTACCTGTCCTAAACATGTGAGTTTCCAGACAATTTTCCTAGTCCTCCTCACTCTGACCTGACTACCCAATTTGCAAACCTAAGACCCTCCTTACACAGAGCATCTTGACCCGAAAGCAGACAGCATCCCTATGTCTGTGCTTTCCTCTGAGGAGTCTTCAAATTAGGACCCCTCATTCTCTACCGCACCATGAAGTCAGTGAGGGCAATATTGCATTTCTCCACCAGCTTATGGTCTTCCTAAGGATGGCTACTTGTCATTTTAAAAATCTCCAAAGTTATTACTGCAGCTTTTAAGAACTACGTACAGTGTTATTTGTATGGATGACTAGGGTTAATCAATTCATGTCTGAATTCATGACAGACTTTTGCTTCTCATAGTGAAAACAGACAGCTGTGTTCAGCTATGGTTCTAAGAGCTTTATATAAATTAATTTAACTGCCACTCAGCCTTCTTTGGATATAAATATATATATATATATACACACACACACACACACACACACACACACACCACACACACACACATACATATGTTATATATACACAAAACTTTCAAAAATCCTATTGATAGGCACAGAATTTGATTCTTTTTTTAAAAAAACATGCTGCTTTACTTTATTTTTATTTTAGACATTTAATGATTTTAACATGGTAATGAAGACATTGCCATTTTCTTTTTTGTTTGTTTTCTTTTCATTTGGAATCTTTCATTCACACATGTCTGGGCATTTCACTAAACTTCTAAAACTTCCTGTCTCTTCCCTTCCTACTCAGGCTGTGTGTGAGCAGGGACATGACAATGCAGACACATTGTGAGTGTGGGTGGATGAAGAGGGACTGCATCTCTCTATCCAAGTGATATGATTTTTCTTTTATTTAGAATTATTTTATTTAATTTTATTAATTTATTCATGCATTTATTTGCTTATTTAAATTTGACCAGAAAGGGACAGTGTGAGAGAAAGACTGAAAGTGAGAGAGAGAGAGAGAGAGAGAGAGAGAGAGAAAGAGAGAAAGCAAGCTGTCAGGCTGTCAGGTCCAAGATTCAAACCAAAGTCGGCCACATGGGAGTCCAGTGCCCTTAACTACCACGCCACCTACCGTTCTCCCAAGTAATATTCTTGAAGCCTCAGTATTTGGACTCCCTATCTCTGAAAAGGGATATTGGTATCGGGCCTGGTTCAGTTTGTTTCTCCATCCTTCTCTGTATCTCTTCCTTTGTTATTCTCCTTTAATTTTAGATACTGTGAACTGACTTCTTTGGGATACTGAACAGTTCAGTCACCCCAAAATAACTCCCTCATCTGACTTTTCATGGTCATATATTCCATCCCTTGTGCCTGGAAATCACTGATCTATTTCCTATCTCTACAGTTCCATCTTTTTTTGTCTTTAATACAAAAATCATATAGTATGTAACTCCTTCAGATAATTTCATTTAAATAAAGGTTTATTGGGACCAGCAGATGGTGTAATGATTAGTTGACTCTTCAAGTCCCAGAACTGATGGCTTAAAACTCATGCCAGGTGTGTGTGTGTGTGTGCATGCCCAAAATCCTGAGAGGAGAATAGAAGAGAAGAGAAGGGATTGAGGCATGGCCATACTCCCCTGGGAGAGGGGGATTTCTCACTTTTTGTCTCTCCAGTGACAGCAAGCACCCTATAGCAAAAATCTCTCCAAAAAAATGATTCATTTATTTCATTAAATATAGACAGACACACACACACACACACACACACACACACACACACACACACAGAGAGAGAGAGAGAGAGAGAGAGAGAAAGAGAATGCATACCCTACAGCATCTTCATGTTGCAGTCTGACTCAGCCTCAGATCACAGTGCACACACATACTCAACGTGTTCAAGAAAATCTCTGGATGGGAGCCTGATACTTCCATGTGGGTCAAACTTAAAAAAACCTCGTGTTTTACCACCATTATCCTGCTCTGGTAGTTAGCTTCTTTCACTCAACAGAATGCCTATGAGATTCAGCCAAGTTGTCATATTCATAAGTAGTTGATTTCTCTTTAGTTAATGTTCTTACTATGGATGCTCCATTATATGAAGATACCCTTATTTCCTACCATTTCTCAATCATTTCCAGTTGGGCAGCATTAACCTTCACTTCATTTAAACAGCCTGTCCTGTGGCCATTCCTGAGACATTTCTCTCAGTCAGAACTGCTAGGCATCCAAATTTTAAATGCCAGATGTTTCTATCTTTTGATTACAGCTCTTACTTATGCAGTTAATAGAAATTGCTCATGTTGTGTCCTGTATTCATTAATCTCCTTTATTTACTCTCTCCTGGTGTTTTCTCATGAAACATCTCCCAACACTCACTTTAACTGGCTTCCTACTGATTCCCTTACTGTACCCACTGACTTATCTCTGCTGATACCCCAGACCAACCTCTTGTCATTATTATTAAGTTTTATCACTGTTGAACAGCTGCATTGCAAAGTATTACTGACAAATGAGGAAGAGAAAACAAAACTTGCAAAATGAATTGTAGGAAAGAGTATATGCACTGCACTTAAAATTAATACTTAACTCCACAACTATAGGGGAAAAACAAGTATTTCTCTAAGGTGGTTTGAAAAACTAAGATATAGGACCTGGATCTCA